CCGAAAAATTGTTATAAGATATAAAGAATATTATATATAAATTGTTATAAGATATAAAGAATATTATATTTTATTATTGTTCTAAGTTCCATTTTTTTTAATATTAAACAAAAAAAATTAATATTAAACAAAAATACGAAAAAAAAAGATTGCTATGAGTCAAAAATATTATAATTAAAATAATAATTAATATTTATCTCAAGTTTCAAACCAATATTTTTTAATAGATAAGATCCTAATGATGTTGAAAAATAAAATTTAAATTTTAATAAAATATATGCATATTTATACTTATATTTAATAATTATAATTATATTATAATTATTATTTAATAATATTAATCGTATTATTATTTAATAATACGAAAATCTTGATATTGAAAACTTGATCATATCTACATCTTTATTATCATTAAATTAAGTAAAGAAAATGTATAGAATATCATTCACTCTCTATCGGAATATATTATCTATTATATATTTTATTATCTATATAATTTTTTAAAATATCTATTTTGCACAAATATAATTACTTTTTTTCTATAGTAAAATATATTCTTTATATACTATTATATTCTTTTATCATAAATGTTTAAATAGATTTGTATATTATATTTATCAACTAATGAATGATAAGAATTAATAGAATATAACAACTCAATCTGATATTTCATTTCAGAAGTATTTATAATTTTATGAGCAATAATAAGAGTACAGTATATCACTAGAATTCTATACTTTATATCTAACAGTGACAGTGTATCGTAAATATTTTTTTTTTCTTTTTATGAAAATTCAATATTCAAAAGAAATTATTTAATTTATAATTTTTTTTAACTACTCATGTACTTATATTATTTTATATTTTATTTTACATGAATTATGAACATTTATATAAAATAATATTTTTGTGGAAAATACTTAAACAAATGAGACTTTCATTTTTTATAACGTGTTTTTAACTTGAGGTATATATACAGAGTATATAAAAAATTGTGATGGAAATCAAATAGAGTTCATTGTGTAAAAATAAATAAAAACGAAAATAATTTACATACTGAAATTAAATATTTTCCATAATTTCATAATTCAGTCAAGAAACAGTATTTTATAATTCATTATAGTATATAATTCATATTTCACATTTTTTAATTTGTATATAATTGCAATAATAATTGCAATAATAACTATCATAAATTTTTCTATATGTTTTACAGTTTATAAAACATTTTTATAAAACGATTTTCGTCAGCAAGAATTTAAAAATCTATAGAAAATGGCTGTCTTTGAAATTCTTTGTGGATTTATTATATTTATTTTCGCCTTTTATTATTATCTATTGAAACCTCAAGAATATTGGAAAAATCATGGGGTACCTGGACCCAAGCCAATACCAATTTTTGGCAATTTTTTCCGTTTAACATTCGCAACTATGTCGATAGGTGATTTGATGACAAAATTTTATAAAGAATATAAACATGAGCCTGTGTTTGGATTATATATTCGAAACGTGCGTGTTCTGGCTATAAATGATCCTGATTTAATCAAAACTGTTCTCATAAAGGATTTCTCAAAATTCGCCCATCGTGGACTTGCTCTGAATGAGGTGGTAAGTGTTTAATGATTTTTAATATTTGCTAAAACTTTGTATTTATTTTTCTATTTATTTTGTAAATTACATAATTGTTCAAAAATACTGAAAAAAATAAATATTTATTTTTGAATTTTTGAATACAAGAAAAAAATTTTAATAAAGAAAGTTAGCGAAAGATAATAAAAGTTCACAGAACAAAATACATTTGATCAAATAAATTTTATATGAAATCAGTATTTAATATTCTTATAAAGAAAAAAATTTATTATATTATAATATAATATAAACTCATTGTATTCTATAATAATACTATATAATGATATTATCTTTATAAATTCCAGATAATATAAATTCCAGATAGATAAATTTTTTAATTTCATGCATTTTTCATATTATCTCCAATCAATCTCTAAAATCTAATCAATTTAATTTTTAATTTAATAAAATCTATCACATAAACTTAAGTAAACGCAATAATTAATGATTAAATATAGAAGTAAACTGATAATCAATAAATGACAATACGTATAGAAGAATATATCGAACAAAAAATTTTATCACATAATATTATCATATTATTCATATTGAAAATTTATAATACTTATTATAATAAATTTATAATAAGCTCGTGTAAGAAAAAAAAAAAAACTTTAACAAAGGATATATTCTAAAACTATATATATTCTAAAACTATATATATATATTCTAAAACATATATCATGTGCTAGAATTTAAGAAAAGCAATTATTTTTTTTACAAATATTTTTTTATTATAGACGGAACCACTTTCTCAGCACTTGTTCGTTTTGGAACCAACAAGATGGCGGCCATTAAGAACGAAATTGTCCCCAATATTTACATCGGGCAAACTGAAGGACATGTTTTCCCTGATTATCGAGTGTTCTAATACCCTCGAGAATTATATTGAACACTTGATATCGAAAAACAATCGTGTCGAAATACGAGACTTGGCTGCCAAATTCACCACTGACGTAATTGGCAGTTGCGGGTTTGGAGTCGATATGAACGCTATGTCAGACGTTCAATGTAAATTTCGCGATATAGGAAGAGAATTTTTCGGTCCAAACTTTAAACAGATATTGAAGATCAGGCTTAGAGAAAATTTACCAAGATTTTACACGTTTTTGGGTTACATATTGCCACGAGATGAAACTACTACTTTTTTCACGAATGTTGTTTTGGATATGATAAAATATAGGAGGAAAAACAATATCTATAGGCCGGACTTTATCAATACTCTTATGAATATTCAGAATCATCCTGAGAAATTGGATATAGGTATGTGTTCGATAATATACAATTAAATTGAACTAATAGTAATTGATTTAACTTTTATGAGAATGAATTTCTTTTTAAAGAAATTTCTTCAACATAAAGATAATTGATAAAAAGATTAATTGATAAAATATAATAAAATATATATGATACACATTTCTTAATTTTATTGCAATATGATTGCAAAATTAATTGCAATAAAAATTTATTTTTTAAAAATTTATTTTTAAAAAAATAAAATTTATTTTTTTATAATTAAAATGTCAAGAAGTGCTTGATTTAATCAATGATGAAATAAAACGTCAAAAAGTGATTCATTTAATTCAATGATTGATCAAATTGCTCATCAAACAATAATATTGATTGATTGCAGATATATTATAGAACATGATAAATGTGATATAGATATCAAGTGATTGAGAAATGGAAATTTTAATTGTTGTCATGAATTTTTTTCAATCATAATTTAAAATAAAATACTCCAACATTTTTTTCGGTGAAATTAAAATATAATTTAATCAAATTCTTATTCATGTTTTTTAGAATTAACGGAACCTTTGCTAGTTGCACAAGCATTCCTTTTCTTCGTGGCTGGCTTCGAAACCTCATCGTTAACTATAGCTACTGCCCTTTACGAATTAGCACAAAATCAAGATATTCAAGATAAATTAAGAGATGAGATTACAGAACATCACAAATTGAACAATGGAGAATGGCAATACGAAAATATTAAAAACATGCCTTATTTAGATGCTGTGTTCAAAGGTATATTTTATTATTACTTACATTTAGATAAAAATTTTATAAATTTAAAACGATTGAAATGTGCAACATCTAAATCTAAATCTAAAAATCTTTTGATAAAATAAAAATAAGAGAATCTAGAACGTGATAAAAAAATGCTCTGGTTTTAAATTACTTTTCATATAAACGTCGACAATAAATTTAAAATAGAATAAAAAAAAATAATAAATATTCAAAATTTTAATTAAATTTTAATTAAAACTATAAATTTTCTATCTAATTATATTTCTAATTTTAGAGACTTTAAGAAAATACGTACCTTTAACAGTTTTAATGAGACAAAGTTTGGAAGACTATACTTTTGAAAGCATAAAGTTAACTATTCCAAAGAATACGAGAATCTTTATTCCTATATATGCTATACATCGTGATCCTGATATCTATCCAAATCCCGAAGTGTTTGATATTAATCGATTTAGCAAGGAAGCAGAAGCGACAAGACATCCTATGCATTATTTACCTTTTGGCGATGGTCCAAGAAATTGCATTGGTATGTAAGAAAAAAATCTACAATTAAAATCTAAAATCTAAAAACAATTGACATGAATTGTAATATATTCGATCAATTTAACTTTTATTAAATTAATATATGATAAATGTTATTCAAAGATGTATTCAATAGAAAATTTTAATATTTAAAAGCATATTTAGAAAATTTTAGAAAAATTTTTAAATATATATTTTTCAAAAATCAATAATAAGTATGATTTAAAGACATTTGTTTCATGTTTTTATAGGTGCGCGTTTTGCAATTTTCCAAACCAAAATTGGATTGATAAAAATTCTTCGTAATTACAAAGTTGATGTTTGCAACGAAACGCAGATTCCATTCATAAACGAACCACGCACGTTTACTCTAGCTCCCAAACATGACCTTATTTTAAAAATTACGAAAATAGAAAACTAGTAAAATATGTATTTTTCTAGAAACTATTTAAACTATTTAAACTAAATATATTATACGTATAGATAAATCTTTGACATAAATATTATTATATTATTCTATTTTTATTTTTTTGAAGAAATATTCTTAAAAATTAGAGATTTCGAAATGTAGATTTATTTTAAGATTTAGTAATTACTTATTCACATATAATTATCATAGTATCAAATATTTTTATCTATGAACTGTTTCTTAAAGTGTAAATATTAATTTAAAAATAAATTTAATTCGATTTAGAGAAAGAATAAGTCAAAAATATTTTCGAAATAACGTAAAATTGATTAAAAATTAATAAAACCATGATTAACAATTTGAAAATTGTATTTTTTTTTTGTTTATATCCTTTTTATTCTTTGCTTTTTTATTTATCTATGTATAATTTGCTATAAATAAAAAAATGTATAAATTTATTTCAAAAATATTTATTTCTAAATTCTATAAATATCTATACTTAAAAATTATCTATTGTTAATTATAATTATTTGCAATAAATAATGAAATTGTCTGAATATTGCCAAAGTGTTAACTTTTATTAGAACTTTGAATGTTATAAGATATTTATATTTATATATAAACATTTATATTTAATATTTATAAAAAGAAAATGTTCTCTAAGATGAATATACGAAGTGAAATCATAAAGATGTATAAATAAACTCTTTGAGATAAATAAATATAAATTTTAAATAAAACTTTAAAAAAATGTAGAAATCCTTTTTTTTACTTAAATAATATTATCACTATACGGAATGCTATATTATACTATATATACTATATGTACAAATTGATTCATATAATTTTTATTGTCAAAATATGTTTAAGAAGATATATAAAAATATATTTTTTACATATATTACTTTTTTTAATATTTTGATTTCAATAGTTAAAAACTTTATTAATTATTAAGGAGAAAAAGAAATTTTATATTATATAAAAAAATAAAAATCTAATTTAATAAAAATATAGTGTATTATATCATTTACAATTTTTTTCATGTCTATAGATAGATGGTAAAGTAATCTTGCATTTTATAATGTATTTTAATTTACTTTAAAAACATTAGACTGCATTTTTTAATGACTTTTCAGAATTTTTACATATAATCAAAATTTTACATACAATCATAAAAATTCTTCACATTCTTCATCATTAAAAAATTCATTTAATTTAATTTGAATGTGAATTTATATATAGAACATAATAAATTATGCACATAATAATTTTTTTTGCAAAGGAAAATTTTTTTTGCAAAGGAAAATTTTTTTGAGTGCATTAATTATAATAAATATAATAAATTAATTTTTATTATTTTTAAATGCATTTTCAGAAATCAATAGAATTTTATATCAATCATTGAATAGAATACAATAGAATACAAAATCATTGTATTTTATGTAAATAAAATAGTAATCTCATAGTTAATTTTAATTACATTCTTTGAATTGTTTGAATTTACTTAGAATGTATATAAACTTTTGTAATTGATTGTATGTATGTACATGTATATAGACAACTGATTATTTATTCTATGTGAGTGTTAATAACTAAGCCTTTATATTCTTCATTTATTGAAGCAAGATTCAGTCGTGCAATAAGATTGCATAGAAATATAAAGAGATATCAAGAGATATCATATAAATAAAGATTAATATTATTATTTTTAAAAAAAAGGTAAAATTCGTTAATAATTCAATTATCGCGTAAAAAAAGCTCATTTTACAGTATAATGTATGAAAATTGTGTTGAATGTTTATTCTTAAAAATTAATAAATTAAAAAAATCATATTATATATTATATAATAAGTGAATATCGATATAACAAAAAAAAAA